ACTATTATCACATTCTTTCACCAAGAGGGGCATTGATAATAAAAAAATTAATATATTTAGAGGCAGTATAATGTTCAAGCCACTCAGCCTGGATTCAGTTCCTAGTTCTATAATTTATTAGCCATGGGAGCTAGAGAGAGCAACTTAACCCCTCTCTATCCCTTAATTTCCTCATCTATAAAATTGGGAATAATAAGTATGCCTATCTCACAGAGCTGCTGTAGGGTTTGAGTTCATGTTTGTGCACATGACTTAGAACAAGTGAGGAGCATATGAAACTGTTTTAGTGCAGTTTCTTTATATTTAAATAGCAAAATATATTCCTTGCTACAAATGGGTGTTGCTATTTATATGGATGATCCAGTGAATACATTTAAATTAATATTTTAAACTAGTTAGGATAGTATCTGCATGTATCTTGAGGCCAGAGTGATACTGTGCTTTGAATGTGAATATTTAATAGTAGAAATAATCTATGTTACTTACACATAGGCTTAAAGCTAGGTCTCATATGAGAAAGTCAAAACAAAGCATCTTTTAAAGTGTAAAGATGTAGTTTATCCCATTATTCAAAAAATATTACATAGGAACAAAATGACAAATTTAAAGTAACCATTAGAGTAAAAGGCTTGTAAATATATTTCTCTGACCTCATTTACTGTTGTTCTAATTAATATGATCATAGTGCTATTTTAAAAGAAGGGAAACTTTGAATTTATTGAAATTTTGATCAGCATTTAGAACTCCAGATTATTTTTTGTTTTCCAATTTGTAATGATAATTTTGAATACTCTACATCTGTGAGAATAATACTATATTTTGTCATAATATACTAATTAGTTTTTAATGATAGGAAACTGAAGCTGCAGAGAAATTGCGGATCGCCAAGAATAATTTAGAGATATTAAATGAGAAGATGACAGTTCAACTGGAAGAAACTGGCAAGAGATTACAGTTTGCAGAAAGTAGAGGTCCACAGCTTGAAGGTGCTGACAGCAAAAGCTGGAAATCAATTGTTGTTACAAGGTAGGAACAGATAGTTTAAAACTTGTACAAAGTTTAATCAGTTCTAATTCTGGCATTATTGTTTTAAAAGATGACACTATTCTGAATAACATTGTTTTTTCCTCTTGAACAGTTTGGTTATTTGTTTTAACAAAATACTCGCTTTTTTTCTGTTCTAGCATTGCAAATCTTTTTCTTCCTTAAAATGTTTTTGTTTGGGTGGCAGGGCATGAGACAGGGCAGAACTGGGCCTGGGCTAAGTTGTTGGAGCTATATGTGGATCATGCAACAGCCTTCAGCTGTGAGCCTGGCCTGATGCTGCCCAGCTTCCCCTGGGTGCTGCTTTTCTCCAACTGCAGTCTCAGCTTCTGTGTATTAATTTTCTACCTCAATTACGAGCCAGGAATAATGGAACTGTCTTGTCATGAACCATGGCAGACTAGATCTGTGTTGTGCTGCAATGCTTTTGGGATTATATCCTGGGCAACTTCCTTTTCAGATAGCCCCAGTAGATGAATTCAGCAGCAGCTTTAGTGTCTTACTGGCCTCTGCTTTCTGGTACTTGATTTTCTCCCACCCCATGAACCTTTTCTGTAAGTATGTGGGATTTCTGTCTGTGAAACTAATCTCTGTGGCTGTGAAATAGGTGGTGATAGTTTATGTGTAAACATTCATGTGTCCATTGCCACAGTCACCACGGGTGGTTCATCGTGACTGTAATGAGTCGGTAAAAAGCTCTGGTGTCATTCTCATTCCCAATTTTAAGTAGATACTTCAAGGACTCTGGAAGCCAGTGCCCAGTGGGATCCTGCCCATGTCCTTTCTCATTAAAACCATCCTGGATGAAGTTGTGTTACTTACTATCCAGCACATTTGCTGTTCCCATTTCAAAAGGCAAACTCATCTTTATCTTACTATCGTCGTAGAGTTCCTTATATCCATGCATCACCAATTTCCCCTTTGATGTCTTTGAGGGCTTCATTTGCCCTATCTGCTATTTGGAATTGCCTTCGTGGGAGGTGAGATAGCAACCACCAACACTACAGCTGGGATGGGAGTCTCCGCACTGTGAGATTACAGCAAGTCCCACAGTGGGCCTGCCACACTGCACTTATTCCCGTCAGCCAAATCGAAGGAGAAAAGAGAAAGGTTAAGCAGGCACATTAGAGGGCAGCCCAGATGGCCATGTACTTGTGGAAAAGGAGTGCTTGGTTCCTGTCCTAATACCAGAGTAGTCAGAATCCACTCTTCTCCCCTCCAGCTCTCACTTTTCCCATCTACAAACCAAGAACAATTATTCAATCAGAAAGCTAGCATCAGGGTTAAATCAAATAACAAGTGTGATAGTATGGGGGAGGGGGCGGAGGGGAGGTCTCTTCATTTGTCTTCTTGGACCCCAGCAGTGGTGCTGACCCAGCAACCCTATCAGTTGATTTCTTGGTCATTCTTTATTTCCTTCTAAAATCATAAATGGACTCAGAAAGCATTTTGAGTTACTCTGAGATCTGTTTATTCAGCAGACATTTACTTAGCATCTGCTACTGCCAGACTCTGTGCTTCCTGTTGGATGTTATTTCTAAAAGACCCACCTTGCCTAGGTTCCTTCAGAGAATCAGGTAGCTTCCATAGTTTAGAAAGCCCTAATTCTTACTGTGACCTTAAGTAAGTTACATGCCTCTGTGGGCTCAAATTTTTATTATTATTTTTTTTTAATCTGTAGAGATGATGATACTTGACCTTCCTTTTCTAAAAGGGCTCTGTGAGGCTGGAAAAGAAATTTTTAGTTGCAAAGGGTTTATAAGATTTATAAATGGTTAGTAGGGGATGATATTCAACCATAATTGAAGATGACTTTGTATTTTAGATCATTTATGTGTTTTTAATCTGAGAACTGAATGAGCATAGAGCAGGCCTTCGGTAAACCATTTTGAAGATATAAGTCTAAGTAGAAACCTCTTGTCAGAGAGAAGGCTCATTCTGATCCTTGACCCCTAGGTTCCCTAAATCCATCCAAAAAAATGCTAAATTTTAGAGCTGGGATTATACACCCAGCTCAATAAAGCAGTTTAGAGATCTCTCTCTTGGGACCCATGACACAGGTCTTGCTCATGCTGAAATCCTTGTAGTTACTCTGTTATTTACTCAACAAACTTATTTACACATATTCTGTGTCAGGTCTAGTGCTGACTACTGGGACAGGCAAGGGTGATGTGGGGGCTATTTTAGATAGGGTAATCAAAGAAGGCCTTTCTGCTTGGGTGGCTTTTGAACAGAGAATTAGATGAAGTAAAGAAGCAAGCTTCTGATATTTCAACATTAACTTTTGGTAGATAGTCTTGGTCGGGTTAAGAATATTCCTTCTAATCTAAGTTTCTAAGATCTATCAAAAGATGTTTGAAGTATTTAGACAACCATAATTTTCCTTTCAGATTTTGTTGCCAAAGTTATACTAACCTTTTTAACTTAGCTAGAAGGTGTTCCTTCTATTTTTTTGTCTGGAAAAGTTTTAATATTGTATGCATTATTTTCTTTTAGGTATGATGGGCCTGTTTATACACAATTTCTCTCACCCATGCTTTTGCATAATTTTTTCCCTTTCCCTTTTTTTTTTATGAGACAGGGTCTTGCTAGGTTGTCCAGGCTGGACTTGATCTCTTGGGCTCAAGCGATCCTTCTGCTTCAGTATCCTGAGTAGCTGGGACTACAGACACGTGCCACCGTGCGCAGCTTCTTGCCATCACCTTTTAATGCTAAATATGTAGCATTTGACTAGAAAACTTTTGAGTAGAAGAAACAGTAAAATAAGATATTTTTAGTGCAATAATTTGAACTTTTAAATCAGTAAGAGAAATCATTTGCCATGTCTGTACCATTTTTTCTTTATACTTTTAGAATGTATGAAACCAAGTTGAAAGAATTAGAAACTGATATTGCCAAAAAAAATCAAAGCATTACTGACCTTAAACAGCTTGTAAGAGAAGCAACAGAGAGAGAACAAAAAGTTAAGAAATACACTGAAGACCTTGAACAACAGGCATGTAATGTAATTTTTCTTTACATGATAAAATAATGCATTATATCACAAGATGCTCTCTGCATTGTCTTATGTAGATAAAAATAGACGCTTGATTAATTTCTTCCCTAGAGGCCCCTCTAACTGAACAGCATCACCATTTGGCCCACTTGTTTAAGCCAAAAACTTTGGATCATCATTCACTTCATTCTTTTCCTCTTTTCCCACATCTTTTTCATCATTAATTCATGTCAGCTGTATTTTCAACCTATATCCTAAATCTAATCACTTCTCAGTATCTCCATCTCTACCAATATCGTCCAAGTTATTATTAATATCTCATACCTGCATGATTGCAGTAATTTCCTAACTGGTCTTTCAGCTTCCACTCTTGTATCATTTCACCTTCTCTTTATCTCTGACCTATCCTCCACAGTTTCCAAATAATCCTTTGCAAGCAAAAAGCAAATCATAGCAGTACCATCTTCAGCTCACAATCTTCCAGTGGTTCTCCATCACCCTAAAATAAAACTTAAATTTTCATAGCCTATAATTATGTACATGGTCTGGCTCCTTGTTTTCTCTCCAGTCTCATCTTCTACTACTTTTCCCTTCATTCAGTGTTTTAGCCATATTAACTTTCTTTCAGTCCTTTGAACAAACCAAACTCATTCAAGTTTCCAGTCCTTGTACTTTTTTCCTTTGTTTAGAATACTATTCACCCAAATATTCCCATCGCTCACTCCCACATTTCATGTCTCTGCTTAAATGGAGGCTCCTCAGAGAGGCCTTTCCTGACTCTAACCCTATGCCACTTTCCATCACTCTCTATCCTCGTACCCTGGATTATTTTTCTCGATAGCCCCTTCTACCATCTGGCACTTTTATCACATCACATCATATCGCAAACTCATGGTTTGTCTTCTCCCACTATTAATAAACATGTAAGAACCATGCAAGTAGGGTCTTTGCCTATTTTATTCACTGCTATATCCTCTGTGCCTGGGACAATGCTTGCCATGCAGTAGTTACTCAGTACTTAATTGTTGAATGAATGACGAATTGAACATAGAAATGTGCTTATGTATGCTTTTGAAAACCCAACTTTTAATATTATGCTTCAGTAAAAATGTGTATCTTTATAAAACCTCATATTTCCATGTCAAACTTTATCTTCTAACTTTTCATTGTGCCCAAAGATTGAGATTCTCAAACACATTCCTGAAGGTACCGAGACAGAGCAAGGCCTTAAACGGGAGCTTCAAGTTCTTAGGTACATCATGTGTTCATATGACTGTTTTGTTTCTTTTTCTTTCTTTTAAAAATTATTTTTTATATAACCAGGTTTGCTAGGTTTGCCAGGTTTTCAACCTGGCTGCCTAATAGGTTCATCAGGTCCTTATTTCATCCCTCTAATGCTAATCAATAACTTTTACATAATACATACTGGAAAAAAAGAGTAAACCCAATCGTAATTTCAGTTTCAAGTCTGTAATGTAGTTTAAACTTGTCTAACAGCATAGAATGAATTAAACCTGAACTTCCGAGAGATAAATGCTAATAAATAAAAACAACAAGTAATTTTTTACTTCCAGGGCTCTCTGTAGTCTACTTTCATTAGACTCCTCTTATAACAAAACTACTCTGGAAAATGGCATCAGGTCATATATTAAAAACATGAACACTTTGATTCCATACTTTGAGAATGGTGGCATTGCAGCATTGAGAATAAATGTTTATCTTGATACATTCTGATTACTGTACACTAACTAGTTCATAAGAAATGCCCACATATTTTGTAGAACAATGTCTGTTGGTTTATTATTTTTGTTTTAACACATTATCATTGTGATCTAGATTAGCTAATAGTCAGCTGGAGAAAGAAAAAGCAGAATTAATTCATCAGATAGAAGTTAACAAGGACCAAACTGGACCTGAAAGCATCAAACCTGGTAACGTATATTATAAAACTACCCCCAATTTTTGAACTCAGGTTTGCCTTTTTTTGGTTCAGATTCCATATCATTTCTCTACAAAAGCAAATCCTTGATATGAAGTTTTAGAGCTGTTGTCTGTCCATGCTATAAAAATATTCACATCCATCCCTTGAGTTGTCTCTACTACAGTAGCAAGTACCTAAGTGTTTTTCTCTTTGTGTTCCATCTGAGTGTCAGAGATTTAATCACAATACAAGGCTATGCAATGAATACTAGGTCTGTTGTTTCCAGTTTCTAAGTATAGGTCTTTTCAGTTCCTCTGGACATTTTTTCTAAATGTTATTGTTGTGTTAATTTAAAAACTACAAATAAGTAAACACTGCCTACATTCTTTTTTTCTTTTAGAAAGTAAAAAGAATGTCTTTCTACCCATTTCTATTCTCATTCAAGAGAATTACCATTCATTCCCCTATTCCCATGTGTACACACGCATACATACGTATACACGTATATTCATATATATATATATATACGTACACAGTGTACAGTTGGTCCTCATTATTTGTGGATTCTTTATCTGTGAATTTACTTATTCACTAAAATGTATTTTTAATCCAAAATTCAACGCTTGTGGCAGTTTGTGGACATTCGCAGAGCAGTAGAGCATTTAAATAATCCAACCTACATGCTCCCAGCAAAGATCCAACAAGGCAATGCGCGGCATTCTTGTTTTCATACAGAGATGACTAGAGGATGGAGACAGTAGGGGGCAGCACAGCATAGTTTAAGAAGCTTAATTCTGATGCTTATTGGTGGGACAGTCTTCGGAGAATAACTTAACACTTCTGGACCTTGTTTTCTCTTTTGTAAAACAAAGAAAATAGAATCTACCAGGATGAGTAATTTCTAGGATTTTTAAGATAATCTATGTGAGATGTGTATGTATATGTATGTAGATATGTGTGTGTATGTGTACATATTTCCCCTAGGAACAGTAGTAGTTTGATATTCACTAATTAAAAGTATTTGTGCTGACTTTATAGAACAAAACTACTGTGAACAGAGAATAGACTTTACCGTTTATATACACAGATACACATTTTCTTGTACGGTGATATAAAATTGGATTCATACTATACATATTTCTAGTTTATTTGCCTTTAACAACTTATCATGGACATTTTTTGAGGTCTGTTTATAAATCTGTCTCATTCTTTTAATAATTCTATAGTATATTATTGCATGGATACACTGAACCATTTACCTTTTGATGGACATTTGCTTTCAAATTTCTGCTTTTATTAATATAAAATAATACTGTGATGAATCTCTTAACCTAATCATACCATTATTTAATAGTTTACTGAAAACACCAAATTTTGCTCCAAAGGATTTTATCAATTTATATCTGAACAATCTGAGTATTTCATACAGCTTTTTCAATATCCTTCTATGTAGTCCTGTTGCTACTTTGTATTAAAGTCATTGTGTATGAGTTGTACTAGACACTATGCTAAGTGCTTTACAAGCATTCTATTTTATTCATACAACCCTAGATGATGACTACTATTGTCTCCATTTTACATGTGATAAACAGATTCAAAGAGGTTAAGTAACCTGTCCCCCCGGTCACAAAAGCTAAGTGGCAGAGGCAGATTAAAACCTAAATTTAGGCTGGGCATGGTAGCTCATGCCTATAATCCTAGCACTCTGGGAGGCCCAGGCAGGAGGATCACTTGAGGTCAGGAGTTCGAGACCAGCCTGAGCAAGAGTGAGACCCTGTCTCTACTAAAAATAGAAAAATTAGCTGGGTGCGGTGGCGCGTGCCTGTAGTCCCAGCTACCTAGGAGGCTGAGGCAGGAGGACTGCTTGAGCCCAGCAGTTGGAGGTTGCTGTGAGCTAGGCTGATGCCATGGCACTCCAGCCTGGGTGACAGAACGAGATTCTGTCTCAAAAAAAGAAAAAAAAAAAACCCTAAATCTATGAAATTAAAAAGCTGCTTACCATTCCAGCCCTTAACCACTGTGCTATGCTGCCTCTTGATAACTAAAAGTATATACATAAATCTCTTTCAGCAGAGCAGACAGGTTGGTGTATACCAGACTAGACACAGTACCAAAGTCCTGTTAATGCTGTTAACATTAGACAAGTTCTACTCTTTCCAAACCTCAGTTTCCTCCAGGAATTTCTGAGCCATCATATTCCTTATCTCCCATGTGAAGGAGATAAAGATACCTGTCATGTTTCAAAGACTATAAAGGCTTAAAATCAAACCAGAACTGTTTTGGAAATTCTAAATCATTAACTAAATAAAAGTAGTCATTAAGATAACTTTTGGAAGATGCTATACATAAGATTATATGCACATAAGAATTTTTCCATATTTAAAAAAACATGATTCTACACTTCTAATACCTATCACATGCCTCTTTTCTTTTTGCTTGCTATGGAATTAGAATTACAATACTTGATAGAGGCAGCATATAGTATTCACATCCTAAAAAGTCCTTCAGCCATAAAACACCATATCTTCCAGGCTGTAGGTTCCATAAGTTTTCTGCTTATTCTCCAGAACAAATGCTTTATCTTAAACTTATTCAGAGTGGGTAAAAGCAGAGTCTAATTTTCCTAACTTTTTTGGCAGATGCTGATCAACTAAAGGAAAAAGTAAAAGATCTAGAGACACAGCTCAAAACATCAGATCTAGAAAAGCAGCATTTGAAGGTAATTAAATATTTAACTATATCTAATTTTAGTATTGTTTTGTGAATACAGGTGTTGAAAACTATTTTTATGACCACCATCTTTAAGTATGTATCCTAAAAATTCCTATAATTACATCTTATATTCATATTTGACCTTGATATTACAATCAGTGTTAGGTAAGAGCTAACAAAAAATAAACAAAGAATTAAAGAGTAAATTTATTTTTTAATTATAACAAATATAGCTCATTATTTTAATATTTTCTTAATTTCAGTTTTGGGTCACATTGAGAATAGTGTTTTTAGTTCATTTTGAAATTCTTTTCAGGAATTTTCTTTTAAGATTATAGTTCTCTTAAAAAAATATTTGCTTTACCTCTTAAGACTGTAAACAACAAAAGGGCCTGGATATGAAAATTAGCTAATGATCACTGGGTATTCTAAATAGTCACTGAAGCTCAAATTCTCTCCCTTCACCAGATGCCTAACTTAGCCAGGCAGAAATCCCAAGGTTTCCCTGATCATAAATATATTTATAAATAAAGTCATTATTCATTAAAAATTAGACATTTATAAAGAAAATATAAATGAAGTATAAACCAAAAAATCAAAACCAGAATAACTTCAATGTTGTGAACAGCAAAGTCTTTTTGACTGCCTCATTATGAGTATCCTATTGTGCTTTTAGAGAAAGATAATCCCAACTAAAAGTTGATAAATTTTAGTCAAAGAATAGATAATTCGATATGACAGTTAACAACTTAGTTATTTATACTGTACAATGAAACTTCATTAACAAAATCTTAAGAAAACACTTTTGCGTTTATAGCTGTGTTTGACTATTCAGGATACTTTGGCTTTCACATTTGTAGTTAAATCTCTTTAATTCAAACCTAAAGCACATATTACATTTCCTGTATGCAACTTTTAAAGATCATGTGTTTCTATTAGGAGGAAACAAAAAAGCTGAAAAAAGAACTGGAGAATTTTGATCCTTCATTTTTTGAAGAAATTGAAGATTTGAAGTATAATTATAAGGAAGAAGTGAAAAAAAATATTCTCTTAGAAGAGAAGTTAAAAAAACTTTCGGAACAATTGGGAGTTGAATTAACTAGCCCTGTTGCTGCTTCTGAACAGTCTGAAGATGAAGAAGAAAGTCCTGTTAATTTTCCTATTTATTAAGGTGGCCACCTATACCTGTAGTTTTATTTGCATATTTATTAACTTTATAAGTTAAAATTCCATGTGGAAATAATCTCTGAACTATAGAATTTCCTTCTTACTACCATGTACCTTTACTTAGATTAGAATTTTTAGTACATAAAATGAAATTTTTAACTTATTACACAAGTATATTTTTGAAGACTTTAGAATGACTATCAAAGAGTATCAGGGTAAATTTAACAGCTTTAACATTTATAATTGGGGTTTCATATATACAAATACTATGACATATATATACACACACATAGATATACATATATAGATTATGAGGTTGAGCTATGTTTTTTTAAATGTGTAGCAAAATTAAATTGAACTTAAATTATTAAATGTTGGAAATAAATCATAAAAAACCGGTGGTTTAATTGTTGTCTCTAAATTACCACCCAGTTATGGTGGACAGAATCCAGCCCTTGTAGAAGTTTGGGAGCTTACCGTTACTTACATTTTTATGGCCAAAGGTTAAAATTAATTTGCTGATTCTAAATAAAATTTTGAATAGGTATTTTGAAACTGGAAAATTCATTTCTTCAAATGGTAGAAGACACACTACTATGTTTCACAATGAATGGAAACCTTGAGATATTCTTAAACATGGCAGAATATTCAGGATTAGAATATAACAATAATAAAATGAATTTTAATTACATTTGCATTTTATACATCAAAAATTATATCTTTGAGCCTACCAAATTTCTGATTATCTAATTTTAAAAAATGATTAAACAAACACTTAGTATCAAAGGCATAGTCATATTTGTTCAAGTTCATGTTGATAATAACTGGTTTCGAATTCATGTAAGTATCTGGAATGGGCCAGCATAAACCAAGATGATGGCGATGTACCTGGAAACAGAAAAAAGCTTTAGTTATTCTCATTCGTGAAGAATGGACAGCACAGGGGTAAGACTGAAGGATACTGTTTTTGGAGGGTGATATGATTCAAGCATGAGTCTTAGTCTAAATTAAAATTAACAAGCCAGGCATGGTGGCTGACACCTGTAATCCTAAGCACTCCTCTGGGAGGCTAAGGCAGGAGGATCACCTGTGGTCAGGAGTTCGAGACCAGCCTGAATGAGAGTGAGACCCAATCTCTGCCAAAAAATAGAAAAATTAGCCAGGCATGGTGGGGCATGCTTGTAGTCTTAGCTACTTGGGTGTGTGAGACAGGAGGATCCCCTGAGCCCAGGAGCCAGAAGTTGCAGTGAGCTATGATGACACCACTGCACTCTAGCTGGGGTGACAGAGTGAGATTCTGTCTCAAAAAAAAAAAAAATTAACGACTGGGGAGAAGTACACAAATTCAATAGATTAGAATCTTTTAAGAACTGATAACTGGATATATGAAGTAATGGAAAGGAGGGTTAAAAATAATATCCAAGTTTTTACCTCAGTAAATTTGGGTGTTAAAACTAGGTCTAGTTTTGAATGTTATGAATTTCAGGTACATGTGAGAAATCAAATTGGCAAGTCTAGGAGACAGACTGAAAGGGCACAAAGTATAATATAACTCATTCTGTATATATCAGCTGTCACCTTGGCACTCCTTTTACTCAACAAATTCTATAATCAAGTAAACTTGGAGACACTGAGTGAAACTAAGTTAGTACAGGATGTCTCCAAGAGCACTAATCTACAGCTTGAATTTTTATGTAGGGGATACGCAGTATCACTGAAGCACATCTAGTATGGCCAATGCCCCACGGAATACACACTGGGAAACACTGTTTTAGCATTTAAAGAATGGTGGCATGTGAGATGAGGAAATTAAATTTCTTTACTGCAAATCAGAATTGCTACAATTCGTGAAGAATATTTTAGTACTGCTTAGACTTTGTTATAGAAATGTAAAACAACATAGCGCCCCACACAAGCTATATTTTGCCATTACCTTAATTAAACAGCCGTCACTGCAATGCCATACTATTCCTTCAATTTTGCCCTCTCTGCAACCTTCAAACCAGGACAAAAGATCATTGTGCTTCAATGCAGGCAGATTTCTTATCTGAAATGCTCCATGTGGTATAAGAAGATGTAATGGATGCTTCTTGCTTCCTAACCCTAAATGGTAAAATTTGCCATTAACCATACTCATTCAAAAGAACTTTTCAGAAAGAATGAGAAAATTTACCTCTCCAAATACGTCTTCTAAAACATTTAGTAATAAAGTTAGAAAAAGTATAGTTGGTCCTTGAAGAGAGTATAATCCAAGTGCATTAAGTCCTGCTTTCACTCAAATGTGGCACCATATTCCAATAAACCTAAATTCCACCTCTGTGTACTTTACCCAGTCTACACACCAGTGGTCAGAAACTAGGACCTGCAGACCAAGTCTAGACTGATACCTGCTTCTGTAAATAGTTTCCATGGACACAGCCACACCCATTCATTTAAGTACTGTCAATAGCTCATTACAGAGGTTTGGCCCACAAAGGTTAAAATATCTACACTGGCATTTTGGAGAAAAAGTGTGCCAACTCCTGCTCTATATACACCATTAGTCACATTCAACTATTATCCAATGTTTGTCAAACAGCTGCACCATAATCTCTGATAACTTGTCTAATTATCATCTTAGTTGCTTTATACCTGCCAATCAATCTACTTTTGATCTCAATCCAGGATTTTCTTATTATAGCTTTAATATCCTTAGGTCTATCTTCTCATCCCCCATCAACAATGTACTCCATAGTGCCCTCGGGACTTATACTTGGTTCATCATGGTATACATTTTGATGCTTGATATGGTATTCATTGTAAATGATTTATTCTTGGCTGTTTAAATTAATGCTGTAACCATTTTCAATCAACTCATCTCACCTGAATATGAAAAAGCAATGAAACGTTATACCTGAGTAATTACTTTTCATATATAGTTGTTTAATGTTATCAGGAAAGTCCCTGTTTAATGTTAACAGGAAATAATGAGAGGATAAAATCAGCCTTTTGGACTGATAAATCAAAATGCTTAGTCAGGCATAAATTTTTCCATGAACATGAAGTTAACAGAAATGGATGTAATCCCAAGAAACTATTTAACACAAATTTGTTAGTTATTTTTGTAGTGTGTGTATTTTTAAGTTGACTGTAGAAAGTTCTCTTTATAAATGACAGTAATTAAGTAAGAAAAAGGCTTCACTCACCATATGGATTTCCATTGATATTTGTTCCTATAAGCTCCAGTGTTTGCTCTAAGAGATCTGATAGTGGCACTGCACTAATTTCCAAAAGTCCAGGATCATCAGGATGATGCTTTAGTACCAGGGCGATTTCAAATTCATAATTAACTACAGAGGAATGCCAGCAATACTGTTTGTTGTTTTTCTCCACTGGTACCCAACCTGTCATTTAAAAAATATGTATTTTATTACATCATTTTTCTATGGATTGAAACTATACATAATTCTATTTTTGTTATAAATTTTCCATATTCTCTGGGTGTCTATCACACAGACATATCATTTTTAAAATCAGTGGTATAGTTAACAGTTTCACTTTTTTTATATCATAAGGGTTGATTTTTTATTCTGTTGAGGAATTCACCTGTTTGATTATTCACTACAGAGCACCCAGAATTCTCTTACCAGAAATTTCACCCTAATTCAGTAAAAACTGAACACTATTCTAAGACATAGCATTAAAACTTTTTTTTAATAAATGGCACCTTCACTATAGTTTCAGGGACAATGACATATGCAGTAAGTTTTCCACAATTTATTGAACTGTCCCAAGATATATTGAACAATTTATTGATACCACATTTATTGAATGTTATTTTTGTTCCCCTTCTCACTCTTGTTGCCAGATTTGGCCCCTCATTCTGGAGAATTCATTACCAAAGAAAACTAGGACAAACATGCCATTGTGACCATATTGTTGGCCTTCATAATTCACCCCAAATCACTGTAATAATTTCTTTGCTGGTCTGCTAGCCTCCACTTTTATTATAGTTCTATTTCTAAAATTTAAATTTAGTTCCTCTGTACCCCTGCTTAATAATCATTACCTTCAGGATAAACTTCAAACTCTTTTAGATGGCATACAAGGGCCTTTAAAATCTGAGACACCTCCACCCTCGACTTTAGTCTCCTCAAGATGTCATATACCCTAAACATTCCAACTACAACAAAGTGTTATGTTCAGAATACTCCATGCTCTCTCCTCTTCCTGGAAGTCTGCCTAAGCTGATCTTCCCTCTCCTTGCCACCTAACTTCCTGGTTCTTAAGCTTTGGTACATATGTTAACTCCTCTTAGAAGCTGCCTCTAACCACTACAAATTGAACTAAGAATTCCTCTTCTTTTCTCCAGTTATATCCTATGTATTCATTCCTGTTAATTCTTAAATCATACTATTATTGGTCAATTCCTCCCAATGTCTAATAAAAGATCACTGAGGACAAGGGTTCTGACCTTCATTTTTGTATTACCAGAAACTAAGCAAGTTCTGCACATAATAGGCACTCAAAACATGCCTCTTTATATGCCCATAATCTTAATCTGGGGGTATCTACAAACTCGGCTACCTCTGCAAAATTTTTCCCATCCCCAGAAAAACTATTTGTCATACACCTATTTTTACTCCCTTCAATGAGAGATTCTTCTGGGATCTTCACAAAAAATAAACACATATACCATATGTTATTCCCAACTTAAAGGTAAAGACTTCTTGAAATATCATTTCAGACTACATCAATCATATTATCTACCCTGAAAAGAACTTCAAGGTCGTTCTCATTCAACACTTTGTTTCACACTACAGCTAGTAAACTGTTCATCTTAGAAAAGATTCTAAACCTGAGAGGATATTCTTGATATGAAACATCTTTGATATAAACTGCTAGATTTCATATAAATTTGATTCAGAAATTTTATGCTATACATATTAATAAAATGAACCAGATTAAAATTAATTTCTGTAATTTTTCATTGATTGCACCTTTCGTTCTTTTTACTAGTCAACACAAAATTCCATTTAAGAAGAGATTTCATGATACCAGGAATGTGTCCATTTTCATCAGGCACCGGATTTCCATTTAATTGTTCTATTTCTTTTGCTGGTATCCAGCACTCTGGAGCAGGTTTAAAGTCTTCCTCAACATTCCAAAAAAATTCTAAAAAGAGTTAGATAACATTATATGTGGTGATACTTTAAAAAATACACTGGACAGATTCAAACTGGGAACAGCTAATAAAACATAGTATCTGATACGATACAATTATGCTTCATTCACTGGGACTCCACAATGTGACTGTAATTTTCAGGGCTAGGGTACTAACGCTTTAAATTTTCAGTTTTAAATACATGATCATTTGTATATAGTGTAACCAATATTCCATTATGTATAAATTTATATGAATTTTTAATGCACTATGGATACATACATATATACATGAATGAGTGTAGATATACCATGAGTGTATATATCGACTACATATAATATTTAAAGGTGTTTTAATGTAATAATTTAAAATACTAATTCTCCTTTGAGATTTGTGCCTGATTTGTAAAATTAGGTATTTCCCTTACAGAGACAAAATCAAAATGCGTCTCACTCATTATATTTGTAGTAATTTGTATGTTTTAATAAAATAGGCTCATACTATAATGAAGAGTCACAGAAATATTAAGAAAATATTTTTCAAGAATATTATATATAAAATTACTCAATTATAATTTTTTTTCTAAATTATACAGAAAGATGAAATGTATAGAAACACCATAGCAATAAATAGCCACAAATTTCAGCTATTTAAATCAAAAAAAGTTAAAAAAATAAAAAAAATGCTAACCTTTTGAGTTTTCTTTTGAATGTAGAAAATTTTTAAATCTTTTGTCAGCTTGTTTGTTAGGTTTTCTATCTAGCCGAGCCCAAAGGTATGGCCGATCTAAAAATAACAAAAGGAAAAGTTAACACATAAGAGACAAACAAAACTTATTTTGAAAGATAATGATGCACACTAAAGTTTCTTAATACAAAAGCCTGAAAAAATCTTTTACAGTTCTCTCAAATATATAAATTTGAAGTTTGTAAAAATTATTACACTCTAGTTCAGATATTATATATTACTTATTAGCTATCCAGATAAATAATATGAAAAACCACATTAAAATTACATTGTCATTTCTGGTTGAATGGACCTTTTGAATTTTTTTTTTTTACCAGTTAACATAAAAAATGCATTTCATTCAGATCCATTAGGATGACTACTATCAAAAAACAAACAAAAAAGTGCCGGCGAGGATAAAAAAAATTAGAAACTTTGTGCACTGTTGGTGGGCATGTAAAATGGTGCACCCATGATGCAAAATACTATGGTGGCTCCTCAAAAAGTTAGAATTACTATATGATCCAGGACTTCTACTTCTGGATATATACCCAAAAGAATTGGTAGCAGGACCTCAAAAATGTATTTGTTCACCCTTGTTCGTAGCAGCACTGTTCATAATAGTCAAAAGGTGAAAGCAACTCCAGTTTCCATCGATTGTTAACTGGATAAACAAAATGTGCTCTATATAGAAAATGGAATGTGATTTAGCCTTAAAAAGGAATGACGCCAGTCACAAAAAGACAAATGCTGTATGATTCCACTTTTATGAGGTACTTAGCATAGAGACAGAAAGTATGGTTACAAGGGGTTGAGCGTGGGGAGATAGGGAGTTGTTTCATGGGTACAGTTTCAGTTTTACAAGATGGAAACTGTTCTGGAGATGGATGCTGGTGATAGCACAACAATGTGAATGTACTTACCGCTGAACTGTGCACTTACAAATGGTTAAGATGGTAAATATCAACATATATCTTAGCACAGTTAAAAAAATGTTTAAATGCATTTCGGAAGAGATTTTCTGATACAAGCAATGTGTCCAGATGCCCATTTAATGGTTCTATTTATATTTGTGGAATTGAGAGGTAATTTCACCATACAGAAGTAATCACAAAGAATATTTTTCTTTTCAATGCAATATTTTTTCTTAACATGGTTGACAATTTCTATTTGAGTTTCTACTTCTTTTAAAGTACATTAAAATGAAATTAATTAGTGACACTGCCAACAGTATAACAGTAATAAAACCACTAAAATCAGTGCTGGGGTCAGCACAAAGAGAACAAGCTTTAGAGACAGACAAACCTAGGTTCCACTGCCAGTTCAGCCATTCATTAACTATATAGTCTTGAACAAATTATTTAAGTTCACTGAGCCTCATTTTCCTTATCTGTAAAATCTAGAGGCTTCTTGTACAAGTTACAGATGATATGTATGAAGCATTTATCATACTGCCTGGTCCTTAATGAGTATTAAGTGTTAGTTTACTTCCTTTCCTGCCCCAAGAGAAAAATACAAAAATATAATAAGTAAAATATAACAATGGTGACCTTTTAACCTTGCTACTAAGGTTTCCAAGGGTTCATGAAAAGCAAATGCCCCATTTCAGATTTATATAATTTGTAAAGTGGTTAAGAAAAATAGGTAATATTTGTAGTAAACATAATAGTTTTATTTTACCTTTGTAGGTAGTAACATAACAACATGTTCCATCCACTTTTTCTGTTGGAATTGCACTGTATATATCTGCATCTAATGCCTTGTGACTTACAGTTTCAGTTGCCAAAACTTTAAATGGCTTAAAAGAGAAAGAGAGAAAACTGGTTTAAGATAGACAGCCTCTGTACTTTGCACACACTATCACCTGAAATGTTCTTAATTTCATTAATTTTAAGGGATGATCTCTTGTTCATCCTTCAAACAATTTAAAAATATTTCTTCTGTGAAGTTTTGAATCACCCCTTCTCTTCTATGCTATCACAGCAGTACCCGATTTTCTGCACAAATCTGTAATTATTTACATGTTGCTTTATCCATCATAATGACTTAACACCAGGAACTATGTCCTACACAGCACTGAATCCCTAACACAAGTGTTCAGTATGTTCAATCATAGTTGACAATTATTTTCTAAATGCCTACTATGGATTAAGCATTGTCCTCAGCACTGGAAATAGAGGTGAGGAAAAAAGCGCTTGCCTTTGGTGAAACTTGCATCTTAATGAAGGAGACAAAAGAAACAAAAGGCATAATATAATGTTAAGCATGACAAGTGCTAAAGAGAAAAATGAATGGAGTCAAGGCAAGAGAGGGATGAGGTACTATTTTAGACGTAGTGGACAGCAAAGACCTCTTTGAGGAGGTACATCTGAGCAGATTTGAAGTGAGGGAATACACGTAAACATTCAGGAAAAAAAAGGCCCCAGGTCAGGAGGTTTCTTGATGTGTTTGAAGGATGCAAGGCAGCCATTGTGTTTGGAGCCTAAGTGAAAGTAAAACTAGATTATGTGTTAATAATTAACTTAAATAAATAATTCCATAGGTGCTTCTAGTGGTTTAATACAAGTATTTTCCCATCATAATTTTTAGTTTTTCAAGAATCAATCTACTCTTCAATACAGGAGACTTTCCATCTTTTATAAACACAAACATTTTTGTGATTTATAAAACTTATTTTTCAATTAAGACTGGGTTCTTGCTGAGTCTTAGCAAGGATCTGGTAATGTGCTTCCACCTCAGGACACAGTCTCAAGGAGCAGACAAAAGAGATGGAAAATAGTTCATATTTTGTTTTTGCTTTTTTTAGCCTTTTTTTTCCTAAAAAATCTAATATTCACATGATAATTACAGAAAATTTATAATGTGAAATATACAGAAGCATAAACAAGAAATCATCCATAATATCACCATCCAGATGTAATCACAAAAAACCTTTTGGCATAATCTCTTTTTCAGTGCATTTTTCTCCTTAATATAACTGATCAATTTCTATTTTGTACAGGGGAAAAGCTAAAAATCAATACCATGTCCTTGATCGGTAGATTATTAAAGAATTATCCTGAAATAGGTTACTTACTATTCATTCACTAGCATTTAGCGAGGGCCCACTATATGTAAAACACGTTGCTAGAAAACTTCGAGATGGAAACACCAAATCAAGAATCAAGTAGGTAATTACTGGTAACAATGCATGAAGTCTGATCTTTAGTGACATAATTAGGCTAGCTGTCAACATTGCCACTGGTTCTCAGATTATAACACGTAAAGTAAGTCTTCTAGGATCTCCACTTTCTCACCACACTCTTAAAAAGTAGTAAAGCTTGAACTGTGGTGATTCTCTGGAATATTGAGGGATTTTCTCCAGAAACTGCTACCCTGAGAAAAAAGGGATGTTATTTTGGATATGGGTTTTCAATTTTCCTGCAAGGGCAGGACTGAATCGCCTGATCAGAAAAAATTCTCTCGCAGATTCCCTCCCTTACAACTAAGGAAAGACAAGAACCGGAGCTCTGGCCATACGGGACTCCCACCCCGACCTCCCCAGCGAAACCTACAAGAGCTTCCAGCCTGCACTGCAGCTTTAACGCGCCCAGCCGCCCTCGCCGGGTTCGAACCGAGCCAGCGCCGCGGGGAGGGGCCCACGCGCGACTGCCCCGCCGGCGCGGCGCTCCTCGGTACCTGATGCTCCCTTTTGGCCGAGGGCTCCTCTTTCACCTCCGTCACAAACACACACGGCATTTTCCGCTGCACGGAGCCCAAGCGCCTCATACTGAACCCAACAGACAGTGCGTGGAGAGCGCGCTCTCGAGCCGCGCCACGTTCAGGCGGAGAGAGAGCCCTGCAGCAGTAAATCCCTGGGTCCAGGCCACTCACACTCCGCGCCCAGCGACAGCGACGAAGCCTCCGCGACGCCAAACCCGCGCTAGGGGAGGGATCGCACGCCCGGAAGCGGCCTCCAGACCGCGGTGCCTTCTGGGAGTTGTGGTGCAGAAGCTAAAGCGCCGGGTGCTCTCCCACGTGCGTCCCACCGGGTTTTGATGACCATGAAAATACAAAGATCCGCTTCCCGAGCGTGTGTACCTAACCACACCGAGTGCCTGATGATATTTTTGAAAATTAAACAATATCAAATTTTAAGCGATGCACATTTCAGATGGTGATTTAACACCATTCTAATGAAACCTGCTTGCCTTTTTAATAAGTTCATGGGGAAAGCACTGTAGTTTAGAAATATCTAGAGACATTCCCAGATTCCAAGCAGAATGAAAATTGGTTTCCCAGGAAGAATGGCAGGAAACGCTACAATTAAAATACCTGGGACCAAAAAAATTTTAAAAGTTACCGTTTGAATTATGCCTCATTGTGTAGCATAGTGTGGTCAAAGTTGGTTCTGATGTTCTTTCCGGAGTGAGCGCGAAGTTTAGCCTTAGACTAATCCAAATCTGCAGGAATACCAACGGACTTCAGTCTCAAGTGTTTCATTGAACTCTTATTTATCTTAAAGATGAGCTCCAACAGCGTTCAAATGGCTTGAGTAGTTGTAGTCAGTCAGCTGCAGAGCTAAAACTTGCTTTGACTTGTTGGTCAAAAGAATATTAGTAAGTAATAAGACTGTCAATGACTGAATAAAATAAATATTAAATATTTAGTAATAGTAGCCTTTCTATCTCATTACGTCTAGTAGTCCTCAGCCTAAAGTTGTAGAGGAATTTTGACTATACTGTCACGCTTTATGTGCTTGGACAAAGCCTAGATCTCATTTCTATAATTGTCTTATCTGCATGTATCCAACTGTCCAGCATTTTACTGAATTAGCCCTTGGAAAAATTAAGTAACTATGTGTCATTTGGAGGTATTTATAGTAAGGAGGTTCCCAAAGGATGAAATATCCCTTAAAAAAAAAATTCATTGTTTTTTGATTGCTGGATTCAGATGGGAGGAGGGAGGAAGAGATTTGCCATTTCAAAGTGTTTACTTTCTTTTCTGCTCTCTTCTATTTTCCCATAGGAAAATACAAAAACTCCACCACCCCCCACCTGCCCAATTAAAAAAAAAAAACAAAAAAACAGCTGATGGCTCTGTGATATTGGAACAAGAAAGTTCTTAGCATTTTGCAGTCAAGAAGCATGACTTCTCTGTTCCTTCAGAGGAAACCTAAAAAGTAGCTTGTCTCGTGAGTCTCAAAAGACAACAGTAAAATAACCTTCACAACTATCAACTGTCATTTTCCAAACTGCCACAGAATCTTCTAGGTTCAACATTCTGTCATTTCTGAGAAAAGATCATCTCTTCTAAAACACTCCACTTGCTCTTTGAATAGTAGCAGCAAGGCTAATCATCTCTTAGGAAGCACTTTCTATTTCCAACACTATGATTTCACCAGCACCTGGAGCAAAACTTCTGGCAGAAACATAAGAGTCCAAGTCAGGGAGAGCCACAGGATCGATTCACAGTAATAAACTGGACTGCTACTCTGATGGGTAGCAGCCATCAGCTCTGCCTGATCTTACAATCCTGAAGAGTCACCAAAGAGTTGCTACCATTTACTGTACTTAAAGTGGTGTTACAACATTACAAAATGGAAGAAAGACTTTCTTCTCTGATGTGTTAGTGCTCTAGCATGCATAAAAGATGAAAAACACTCAATACAAGCCTGCTTTGGTCAACACAAAATACTTACAGAATTTTCAGCCCCACTGGGAGACAAATTTCCCATTACTCTTCATTACAAGGAATAAAAATCCTCATGAATATGATTATAGCTTTCTGTGAAAGACTAGAATGAAATTCACAACAGGAAAGAACAGAAGTGAAG